TACCTCATATATATGTGTGTACATATATATACATATATATATACATATATATATATACAAACCTACATGGCATTTTAGAAATTGTTAAAAATGTTCATCTTTTCGAGAAAATCAAAGTCTGTTGTCTTGGCTGGAAGGATCTGGAAGATTCTACTGCAAAACCTTCTTGCACATCTTAGATCATTTAACTTACACTGTATTCATTTCTACATCTGTTTTTACACGAATGACGCTGCAGCAGGCTGTTTAGCTGCTTCCTGACATTCAGCTGCAAACTTACTCCGGCCTTCAGCTCAAACCCACACAAACAGAATAGTTAATGATGGAGAACAGAGAAAATGTCATCGCTGGACATTTCAGCCCTCTGTAGATGCAGCCTTATTTTTCCTACCACACAGTCTTATTAACTAAAATGAAAAGGCAGAACATATTGTTCCCGTTTCCTAAAGTTTATAAATGACTAATGCAATACATTGGTTAATAAATATAAGGGGAACATATAGAAGAAAAACCTACAGTAAATGAGCTTTGGCAATCACTTGAAATCTGAAATATAGAGATTGCATGTCGAAAATGCCAAGCTAATCTTAGATGTCACAAAAAATGTTACATCTTTTGCTAAAATAAAGTAAGACTTAGGAGAGAGGCTAAGACTTGGTTAAAAAATAAATTTGCTAGCTAAAGCAAACTAAGCTAAAGGGCAATTCTTCTTTAACTTTAAAATGTCTAGAAGTTTAATATTCAGAAAATATTTCTGAATAGCTGATTAATTGCTGTAGAACCTGACTGACCTGGTGATGATGAAGATGCAGACTAAGGTCCGGCTAATTTGACGAGTTCAGGTCCTGGTAGGTCCAGCAGAAGGGAGCAACTACAGAAGAGCAAGTGGAAATGAAGATATAGAGAAAATAAAGAATGAGCAGCCAATGGGAGCTGAGGAGGTAGACGGCCAATCAGCAGTCACAGCACTGACAGTGAGTCAGTCAATTCTCCTCATGTTTTCAGACTAATGATGAAAACAGTCAGACGTCAATAAATGTTCAGGGTTACACACACTTTTGTAAGGAGTAACACTTTCTTTTTCACAGACACAATTGACTGCGGACTGAGATAAATCGTTTTGAACTGTGCGTCAGAATTTGTGAGCTCAGACTGATTCTCTCAACTGCTGTTCAAGGCCACCAACAAAGTAGAAGCTTTGGTTTAAATGATAAATGACTTTTAATTTTAAAACTCAGAAACTCATGAAAATCAGGATTCAGAACATAAACGATTAATATACAATCAACAATTCATAGGGGAAAAGGGAAAAAAGTGGATTTTGTGTGGATTGAATTTTAAATTTTGGAGTAAATAAAAAAAATCAATGTAGAGAATTAGCTCTAGTTTAGATAAACAGAGCAGATGATATAGAACATTTGTTTATGAACAATTTTATTCAACATCAAACTGTGGAAATCACACAGTCCCGGATATACATTTTTCTGGCTGTACATTTATGTAATGACAGTGAGACAGTTTTTTCTCTCTCTCAGTTTTCGATGCTCTCATAAACTTCATATCTGTACTGGACCCCCTGTTCCTCCTGCAGCTCCATAGAAACTCCTGGAAACCTGGCAAAACAAAAACATCCTAATATGATGTCATATACAAAATATATATTTATGTAGTAAAAAATACAATTGTTATCATAACAAATGATTACCTCCAACTTTTTTGGTATATTTTAATATCTTAAAATATCTCATTCCACTTAACCTGACCACATAGATTGTACAACCGATTTAAATGAATGAAAGTTTTATGCTAAAACCTGTAAATATGGATAAAGATAAACGTCATCATGATCTTACTGAGGCAGGAGACGGAATTTGTCAGGAGTTATTGGTGGGAAGTATGTATCACAGTCAAACTGCTTCATTATTCGAGTGACTAAGAGTCTCTTAGTTCCTGGTTCCTCCATCATCTCCTAATCGAAGAAAACAGAGGAGGTTTGACAGCTTGTCAGTAGACATTTAAGAATAGCTATGACATTACTGAAAACTTTGAGCAATAGCTGGGCTTGATTAATAATTTGATTAAAATAATTTTTAAAAAAAGGCACACTCATTTCACTCATTCAACAGAAAGAAATTCAGCTCAATTGTTGTCATTATGGAGCAGTTCTGAGGAGAACAAAATCTCAAGCACAATATTAAAAATATCTGTGAAGACAAAGGTGTGGTGGATGTGTGTGAGATGATTTATGTTTAATGACACAGTTTACTGTATGAATCAAATTTTAGAGGTAAGTGAAGTCTGGTTGAGTACCTTATAGACTGAATTTCCTCCAATGACCCAGATCTGGTCAGCCTGGTCTGACAGCTTTGTTTCAACCAGCCTGATAGCTGAGCTGAAGTCTGCTGCCAGGTAATGAGCTCCTGTAGGTGGCGCTCTGCACAAACATTAGGTCTATTTAGCCTTTTAATATATATAGTATAGTGCATTATGAAAAAAACATGAATAAAGATAGAGATCTGTACACATGACAAAGCATTGCAGTAGTGTTTTTACACTATGAGCTCTTATAACTTAAGGAAGCTATAAATGTGTTTCAGGAGTTAACAAAATGTCCCTATATAGGCAGAAAAGTTTACTGTGTGTGTGATTTTTCCTACTTGTACTGTCTGCTGAGGACAATGTTGATTCTGTTTCGCAAAGGTCTATGGTTCTCTGGGATGGAAAACCACGTCTTTCTACCCATGATCACCACGTTCTGTTTACCTACAGCAGAACAAAAGAAAAATTAGTTCTATCTAATAACTATCTCTACAGTACACAGAATATTTCAATCCGTGTTTACAGCTCAACTATAAGAAAAAGGTGGACGGTAGCACGTGACATAGCAAAGCATAAGAATATCGTATTTTGGTGTATTAAAGAATACTAATCATTTCGTGAAGGTTTTAAAATGTTTTCATTTGTGGGGCAAATGCTGGACATGTTCACTGTAAATGTAACACGTGACCAATAAACCTTTGTTCTGAGGCCGCCGAAGTTGCTCAACTTTGGCGAACTTTGTTTACCTTCAACAGGTGAAGTCTGTGTCATGGTTTGGAAATGTTTCATTTCATTTCTGTCAAAGAAGAAGTGGGGAATAAAGTAAACAGATTTTAAACACCGTACATCATGTTTACTAAGAACAGGTAAAACTCATCGTAAGATACCAATGATCCACAGACAACGGGGACATACACGAGAAGCCAACGAAAATAAACCTGAAGCAAAATATGGATTTCATCAGTCTTACGTACCTGAGATTAATCGGATGCCAGGGCAGCGTTCCATTTTTTCCTATACCGAAATCCGGACAAACGGCCACGATGGCGTTCAGAACACGGCTCATTTTATTGGAAAACTGACTCAATAGCCTTCTTGTTATTCAGTAACACACGTTTCCCGCCCTCCGTACAAAACACAGGGCTTACGTTCTCCCTCTCATCCGTACTTCCGGCTTTTAGACACCAGCTAACTATGTCTGTCAAGTACAGACTGAAGTCATTCTTCGCCTTTGACTATACATTAATATTAAACTGGTTATAGTCTGTCGACATGTCGGGTCAGTATACACTGTCAGTAGAGTAAATGGGCCACTGACAAACGGAAATTACGAAAGATAAATACACTACGCTATTCCGACGGGAGTAGCACGCTGTTTACTACTCAGATAGGCGAATTTCACCCATCAGAATAGCCTGCGCTGTAACAAACTACTCGTATGCTATTCAGATAGATAAAATACACTTCAATACATCACCGGCATCATGTGGTAAATAATTAAAACAAACGTTGGCGTGGATTTCAACTGTCTAATACAGTTCTACTATTCTATAAAACAACTGTTTGGAAGACTACATTAATATATAACACCGGTATTTACCATTACCGTTATAGCAATAGAAGGTAGAATAGACATTTGTGTGGCGGCGATGTTTGTAGTTTACTATTGCAACGCTGCACCCTATATCCGTATAACCCGGTTGTACTGCTTTATTTCAGATAAAATATATGAACTCTGTAAAATCGTCTACCACTTTGGTAATTTTCTGCAAACGTTTTATATTAACTAATTAAATACCCTACATATACGACCTATTTTTATGCAACGCTTATCGAAAATTAAGTAATGTATACTACATTACTTAATTTTCGATAGTGGTAATATTATAAATGTGTATGTACCTATTTTTTAACACATTTCATTTTTTGTAATCATTCTTTACCAATTTATCCTGTTACTACAGTTGTGTGGGTTTAGCATATTTAATTTAGACTAAAAACCTTAATTATGGCTCATATATATATCATACTCAAATATAAGTGCTATATAAACAATAAACAAAACTGAAAAAAGTTTCTGTTAAAAAAAACTCTGTTTTATTTCCTACGTACTCTCAGTGGTTTCTGAAAACGTTAACAAATAAGGAACAAAAATGTTTTTGTAACCCAAAAACACTGAGGAGGCTGCCATCTTGACAAACAAGCCGAATCTTATCTTATGATTTTCATTAGGAAGTCAGGAATGTATCTGTCAATCCATCTAACTGTAGTTTATTTTCAATTTTGCAAAGGTTGAGGTGGGCAGCGCAGTTTGTTGCGCTCAACAGTTTTACCGTTAGGTGTCACTGTTTCTCAACAATTTGTCGAACTTGCTGGAGTGGTATTTAGGGTCCACGTACAAATGTTGACAATGCAAACTGGTCCAAACGCAGACATGGTGCGTCATCTGTCCCACTGATACTCAGAAACACATCAAGTTGGCTAAATACAGTGTGACCTGTCGCCATTACGGCTAAGAACCCACATAGATGGTAATCCCTGCTAAAAACATCAGTCTGAGTCACTACAGGTTTCGCAGAGTCAGCGAGCAGCATCCCCATGTGTGCAGCAGGGACAGAAGTGCAGAGCATCATGGATATAGAGGTCACACTCCATACAGTAGACATTTTTACACGAAGGGCAGGTAAACATCTGTACCCAAAGAGGGAGACAGGGGAAGATGGGTTTCATCATAGAAGATTATATTGACAACTTTTGAAAACTGTTGAAGTAAAAAAAAAATACCCACACTTTTTTCCTTTAGTTCTCCCTGACATGCCTGACAGAACCTAAAAACAAATGACAACAAGTTTAGCTCAAAGTGACAACAACAACCTCGCTGTGGTGACTGTGAATAGCCTCTCCAATTTTAAAACATTGATTTAAGATGCACTTGTTTACTTTGGCCTATATTTGGAGTATATTCACATTTATTCGGTCTTTTATCTATTTCTCTTTTATTGTTATTGCTTTTATTAAAGGATGTCCAATATTAACATTTTTGCCAATATCCGATATGACGGTGTTGGCCAAACACTTAATTTCTGATTCTGATATCAACGGATACTGATATAGCAGGGCAGTGGTGGGCATTGTGTTATTGCATTTTCATTATCAGAGGAAAAACCAATAACAATTCTTACTGATATTACAAAATATGCCAAAACCAGGTCTGACCAAGATCTGTGAATGTGTGAGTTTGTCTGAGTCACCTTTCTCCCTGAAGTTCTTCTACTGGGGTCTCTGTAAAGGTCTGGAGGGGGAAGAGGTGATGAAAGGATCTGGCCAGATGAGGAGCTGACACCAGAGTCAAACCTTTGGAAAAAGAGTTTACAAGATATTTTACCCAAAAGTTACAGTTTCATGAAAACAGGCCAAACATTTGACTGTTTAATGTTAAAAATCTCATCGTAAGATCAAATTGAAGTATAAAGAGATGCATATGTATGTAATTAAAACAGAAAAACATTATATTGATTTCAATAGCAGCCTCAAACAAGAACAGAGGACATACCACACACTTTACACTCCACAGGAAGTTCTGTGTATTTGGCGTGGCACTGTGGACAGAAGTAACCTCCCAAAGACAGACCTGGATCACAGCTGCTGCTGCTATCCAGATGACTGGTACACAAATGAAACATTAATAAAAGTAATTACTCTCTCTCTCTGACACACACACACATAGAATGCCCAGTGTTTACATTATTTTTACTCACGACATGCTGAAAGAAGGTTTGGCATCTCTGTCCATTACAGCAGAAACGGTGTGCTGAGGAAAACCTAAGCACAGGAGTTTTAAGATTCTCTTATATGTTTTTATTTTAAGTATTATTTTATTTTTTGTAAAAACATGACTGTAATAATCAAATATTTTATCAGCTTCAAAAATTTAAAGAAACTGTTCTATATCAAATTAAACAGTGCATATGAGCGAGCTTTAGAACTTTAGAAAGGTATCACTGGTTTCTGGTTCATTGGTAATCTGCAGACCCTACTGACCCATGCGTATTAAGGAGCACTCAGAGGAGGTAGTGGCTGGAGGAGGTTTGACGTGCATCATCAGCAGCTCTCTGTAGTGACTCTCGTCCAGAATGACGTTGTACAGACCTCCTGTCTCTCTGGTCAGCACTGTGCAGACCCTGACTTCTGCAGACAGACCGATGACTGACACTCGAATCTTCAGAGTCTTCAGAGTCTGGTCAAAGTAGGAACAGAGTCATTCCTACAGGATTGTTTACGTGACATGGTTGGTTAGCTAAGACTGGAAATTATATTTACTGACTTGGAGCTTGACTCTCAACACTGGGCACTTACAAAAGGGACACAATGTAATATTGATTTTGTTTTGATACACATCACCTCTGAAGTGTCTGGCTTTTCTTTAAGTGCCAGTTTTGGCAACTAAGCAGACGTTTTATAATCTCCTTTAATCTGGAAATGGCTGATTTGTAACCGTACCAACTCACAGCTAGACAACCCTAACCAGCCAGTATTGTGACTTAGACATAAAGAATAAACCTTAAGAATCAGGTTTGGTCTCAACTCCATATCCAGGTGGCTGGATCCAAGGAACAGACTGAACTTCTCTGTCGTCGAACATTGAGATTTCAACATCATATAAACTCAAACTTACTATTAATGATTTGAAACTGGACTCGACTATTAAAGACCAAAAGAGTAGATTTGAACATGAATTAACCCAGAAATAAACACGAACTCTAAGGATTGGACAATCACATTGGCTCCAGGTCAGTACAGGACCTCACCTTAATGAGTTCATAGATGTTTGCTGGGTCACATGTGGTCAGACTGCTGAGAACGATGAGGATCTCACGACTAGTGTGTCCTGGCATGTGTCTTTATACAGAGGTAAACAGTAAGTTAGCAATTACAGAGATCAGTTCATTAAACTGGAACCAACATCCATCCTAAAGTGTTTAATCTAATGTGGACAGTTCTAATGGCCTTTACTTTCAGAACACTTTGTAATAAATGTATTTGATTGATCACGTGATACTCTGCAATTGTTTGCTCCATGTGCAATATATGAAATTAATTCAAAAGTAGTGTATTGTGCAGATTTATTCTAGTATGATTAACTTCAAGATGAACGAATGTGCAATAACGTTGGGCTCAAAGAAGCTGCTTTTTGAGCAGTACTCCCTTGCAAAGGTTCAAGTTAAAATATTTTTGCAAATCTCAACTTCAAATAATTAAATCAAATCAAATATGAAAATAGGGCATTAACATTTGATCTAGTTTTTCCACATTCATTTCATTATCCATAACTAAAAATAAAAGCTTTTTCAGGTAAGATGTGGGATCAGCTGTTGACCACTGTCCACACATGATTCTCAGGTCTAAACTTTAAAGACTCTGCAGAACAATATAGAACACCTACTTTAGGGACTGAATGGCCAGATTCAAAGAGTTGTACAGAGAAGGTTCTCCTCCACACACTGTGTCCACAGCCTTCTTTAGAGCAGTGGTGTGTTTGGTTGGGTTTCCTAAATGTCAAACAAGATATCATTGACTGCAAGTAAAGTTTCTCTGATTTCAGGACCATGAAATTGTATTGTATTCTACTGACCTGCCAGATCAGTCAGCTTCTCAGCTCTCTTGTTTTTTGTGGTGATAAATCCAATCTAAGGAGACAGAAATTCTTTGGTCTAAAAACAGCTTTTTGTTTTTGTTAAAGTTGTACCATTTTTTGCAGTTCATAGTATGGTTCTTGTTAATTTAACAAGTCAAAACATGATTTAAGGACAATACCTGACTGATGGGGTTTTGGTCAAAATACTCGTCAACAAACTTTTCAATCAGCTGTATAGGAGAAAAAGGGAAACACCAGTTAACACTTGAGCACAGTCGATTTTCCTAAATGATAAAAGATATCTGAAACAAACTATTATCTTGTAGATACGATCTGCTGTTGTAGGGTGAAAGTCTGAGACTGAACTTACCTTCAGGGTAGAGGTTAGGCGGTTCGGTTTTAGGTCCTGGTCTTCCATACTTCGGGAACAGTCAATTACCACATACAGGTGACGCATCTGTAACACAGAAAAACATTTGGACACTATAGCATATGATGGCAAATAGCAAAAAAATGTATTAATTAGTAAGGCTATACATGCACAGCAGGCTTACACATTATACACAGCACTATTAAAAATATTTCTGAACGGTAATTTGACACTAATCACTTTACTGAGCTGAAAGACACTTCATGACTCAGTAAAGAAATAGCAATATTTTTGCAATAAAAAATAGTAAGTAGTAAGTAGAAAAAAATTAATGTACAATACTCAGCAATTATTGTTACATGTTATGACAGTTGAATCATTGCGTTATAGTCATTTTATTTTGTGCCTCCACTCAATACCAGTTTTTTTAGTAGAATTGGTAGTAAACCAATATTTCCTGTGTTCCTGTGCCCTTGAACCTGTAAATTTATCAATTGTATAAACCTTAGTTTCTAACCAAAAACAATACATCAAATGGATAGATACGTATATGGATAGATCTTTATTGATCCCTTGGCAGGGAATTTACTCACCATTCCGAGGCGCACCTGGTTATGGCTGGTAATCATCCTGGTGAGACAAATAGAATGTCACACACAAGTTTTTACATACTCTTAAATTAAATGGAACTATAGCAAATGCATGTTTGAATGTAAAAAAAAACAAACATTAGTTTAACATGCATACTGTGCTAGTCAACACATGAGTGGATTCAGTTTCTTAAAATATACCAATTTGCATGAAACTGCATATCAATGCAAAAGATTACATTAAGAAACAGACATGAATTAAATTATGAGAATGAAAATAACACAACTATATAATACAGCTTTACAAAAATAGAGACTGTCATCAACAGGTCGCAAACATGCCTTTTACTGAACTTAATATTCATCACATAATTTTCATTTTGTTTTTATTTTGGAGCATAATGAAATAAGTTATGATGCATAGTTTGTGTTCTGTTTCTGCATCTCAGAGGCCATGCACCACCCAATAATACTAGTTATAATAATAATAACAACAACAAACCAGATTTAGCCCACAGTGCCTATATTTAAGAGCTGAGATAAACAGGATAAGGGAATACTGTATTTAATCACAAGACCAGAATTAGAAGAAGCATGAGTTCAGCCACACAACAATGCATTAAGAGTATGATCTTCTCAAGCATGTTGAGCATGTTCACACACACAAACCTTTTCCTTTTTGACTGGTACAGAATTGCCTCCACTGAGGATTTGAGGGAGCCAGATTCATCCTCCTTTAGCACTTCCCTGTGGGAGAACCATCGATACATTGAAACAACAGTTGTCATAGGAATATATGCCTGTTTGGACTAGTATTCATTCGCTGACTTCATATGATTTTGAACAATTAAAAACGTTTTTATACAATAAAGACTATTCTCTTTTTGTAATTCGCACACCATACAGCAGGTCTCCTTCTTCTTCTCCTTTTGGCTTTGTCCCTTTTTTTTTTCCAGGGGTTATCACAGCGAATCATTGATTTCCATCTCTCCCTGTTCTCTGCATCTTCTACTCTGACTCCAACTATCTGCATGTCCTCCCTCACTGCATCCATATATCTCCTCGTTGGCCTTCCTCTTTGTCTCCTACCTGGTAGCTCCATCTCTAACATTCTCCTATCAATGTATCCACTGTACCTCCTCTATAATATTACAGAAACAAAACAGATTTGTCGAAACTTCAAAACTTTAAATATATACATTAGGTACACTTTTCAATAAGTGTGGTGATTTAAAGAACATACATTTGCAAATTATTAATTCTAGTCAGTAAATAACAGACAATAGTTACCAAGTTCTCTCATAGCCTCCTTCCCAGCGTTTGGCTCTCTCTGGTTCTTCATCCATTTTGTCTTATTGTCACAAAAACATAAAACAACAATAAAATTATTCTTCAGATTATGGAACTTGGGGATCAGGGGGTGCTTGCATGATTTTACTCTTCCGGAGACGTTTAACGATTCTATGGAGGAATAGCTTAAATAATTTATCAACTAGACCAGGGATCACCAACTTTTTTGAAACTTAGAGCTACTTGTTTAATACAGACTTCAAAAATAATGTAATAACAATTAGTTCTGGGACATACAACAGCAGACACTTCTTACTATCGTCATCGCAGCCGTTTGAATATCGTTGCAGGCGTAACCGATTCAAAAAGCACGGTACATTTTTTGACCCTCTTTTTAGTTTTATTTTAAGAACATAGCCTGCGGGCACCTTTGCTGGTCCATATGGGTTTAGTAGGTGCCCCCGGGCACGACGTTGGTGACCCCTGAACTAGACCAACTACTTTTTTTATTTAGAGCTTTTCCACATTATACAGAACGAAATTTAGCTTTAACCGTTTCATTAAAGATGCGGTAAGAATAAAGCATAAGTATCCTAGTCGAACTATGTTGATCTTTAGAGAATATTAAAACATTACTGCGACGTAACAGACTGTAATTCAAATAAAATAAATCATGAATAAACTATGTTGAACACATGCTAGCTGGCGAGCTAACTTGGAGTATATTTTATACATATATACAGAAATTGTATCGTTCTCATCATAAAAAGGCTAAACCAAAAATTCCAATGTCTTCATCACGACAATCAACTTTAACAAATCATTTCGTCAAAAAGAAACTGAACAACTTACCTTTTTTTTTTTTTTTTTCAGAATATTGTATTTGGCACCTCAGTACAGGCTGTGCAACAGCTTATTCCTCCGGTAGGAAACATAGACTGCCTGGAACCTGCCGTGTGTATATTACACCTGGAACGATGTTCTGCGGTATTCATATACAGCATGTAATGGATAGTTAAAATAAGTTTATTATTATTATTCTTTACGCTACGGATAAACCTAAGTTATCCAACGAAACGAGTCACGTGACTGACTAAAAATGGTTCGGCGGTTTTATACATAAACAACGACTGTTTGCCACAATAAAAGCTGGTAGAAAAGTGGTGAAATTGTTTATTGGCTTTGAGTTACATAGAAAAAAGTGACGTGACAGTTTAAAAATGATACTATGAGAATAAGGAGCCACCATTAATCATGCTGACATACACAAGAAAAGAAAAAAAACTTTTCCAAGATTAAAAATTGATAATATAAACAATATTCACATATAATGGTCAGTGACTTTCGTGTCACACTATCTAATACAACTTAGCTGCTCCTTCACTGTTTCTTAAAATTTAATATAATGAAAAACTGCTTCATTTGCACTGAAGCATCAAAGAATCACATCCCCTCCCTAAATCCAACAGTGAAAAAAAAAATTGTTCTTCATACGTTTATAACAATATATCTATTAAAAAACTGATCAATGATGATGACATAAATATGTTTTTAAAACTACAGTATACCGATGTTTCCTTTACCTGCTAATCTCTGACAAAGCTTAATTCTTGGCCCTGAAACATATGTGATATTTAAGCAGAAGAGCTGTTCATTGTCACCATCACACTGTTCAGTTTGTTTAAATGCCTATGATCGAGTCCACCATTGGAAGTGAGGAAAATAATTCACAGATTTAACTGTTTAGAAAGTTGGGGATTCAGGGTCTGCGGTCGTACTCGCTGATCTTCCTCTTGATGTGGGACAGTTTGGATTTCAGGTACTTGCACCTCTTCTTCTTTATCTGATAACTGGGAGACTGAAAAGGGGAATATGATGTTCAAAGAATTGCAGTTTATTTAAGGGAACATAAGCCATTGTTTAAAGAAATTGACAGCAATGGTAATTAAAAATATCTGGGTACAAATATTTACCTTTTTGAAGTTCTTGAGCTTGGTGTATTCACTCATAGCATCCTGAGGGGAGAAAAAATACATTTAAACATAGAAGGGGGGGGGGGGATGGAGCATAATGAAATAAGTTATGATGCATAGTTTGTGTTCTGTTTCTGCATCTCAGAGGCCATGCACCACCCAATAATACTAGTTATAATAATAATAACAACAACAAACCAGATTTAGCCCACAGTGCCTATATTTAAGAGCTGAGATAAACAGGATAAGGGAATACTGTATTTAATCACAAGACCAGAATTAGAAGAAGCATGAGTTCAGCCACACAACAATGCATTAAGAGTATGATCTTCTCAAGCATGTTGAGCATGTTCACACACACAAACCTTTTCCTTTTTGACTGGTACAGAATTGCCTCCACTGAGGATTTGAGGGAGCCAGATTCATCCTCCTTTAGCACTTCCCTGTGGGAGAACCATCGATACATTGAAACAACAGTTGTCATAGGAATATATGCCTGTTTGGACTAGTATTCATTCGCTGACTTCATATGATTTTGAACAATTAAAAACGTTTTTATACAATAAAGACTATTCTCTTTTTGTAATTCGCACACCATACAGCAGGTCTCCTTCTTCTTCTCCTTTTGGCTTTGTCCCTTTTTTTTTTCCAGGGGTTATCACAGCGAATCATTGATTTCCATCTCTCCCTGTTCTCTGCATCTTCTACTCTGACTCCAACTATCTGCATGTCCTCCCTCACTGCATCCATATATCTCCTCGTTGGCCTTCCTCTTTGTCTCCTACCTGGTAGCTCCATCTCTAACATTCTCCTATCAATGTATCCACTGTACCTCCTCTATAATATTACAGAAACAAAACAGATTTGTCGAAACTTCAAAACTTTAAATATATACATTAGGTACACTTTTCAATAAGTGTGGTGATTTAAAGAACATACATTTGCAAATTATTAATTCTAGTCAGTAAATAACAGACAATAGTTACCAAGTTCTCTCATAGCCTCCTTCCCAGCGTTTGGCTCTCTCTGGTTCTTCATCCATTTTGTCTTATTGTCACAAAAACATAAAACAACAATAAAATTATTCTTCAGATTATGGAACTTGGGGATCAGGGGGTGCTTGCATGATTTTACTCTTCCGGAGACGTTTAACGATTCTATGGAGGAATAGCTTAAATAATTTATCAACTAGACCAGGGATCACCAACTTTTTTGAAACTTAGAGCTACTTGTTTAATACAGACTTCAAAAATAATGTAATAACAATTAGTTCTGGGACATACAACAGCAGACACTTCTTACTATCGTCATCGCAGCCGTTTGAATATCGTTGCAGGCGTAACCGATTCAAAAAGCACGGTACATTTTTTGACCCTCTTTTTAGTTTTATTTTAAGAACATAGCCTGCGGGCACCTTTGCTGGTCCATATGGGTTTAGTAGGTGCCCCCGGGCACGACGTTGGTGACCCCTGAACTAGACCAACTACTTTTTTTATTTAGAGCTTTTCCACATTATACAGAACGAAATTTAGCTTTAACCGTTTCATTAAAGATGCGGTAAGAATAAAGCATAAGTATCCTAGTCGAACTATGTTGATCTTTAGAGAATATTAAAACATTACTGCGACGTAACAGACTGTAATTCAAATAAAATAAATCATGAATAAACTATGTTGAACACATGCTAGCTGGCGAGCTAACTTGGAGTATATTTTATACATATATACAGAAATTGTATCGTTCTCATCATAAAAAGGCTAAACCAAAAATTCCAATGTCTTCATCACGACAATCAACTTTAACAAATCATTTCGTCAAAAAGAAACTGAACAACTTACCTTTTTTTTTTTTTTTTGCAGAATATTGTATTTGGCACCTCAGTACAGGCTGTGCAACAGCTTATTCCTCCGGTAGGAAACATAGACTGCCTGGAACCTGCCGTGTGTATATTACACCTGGAACGATGTTCTGCGGTATTCATATACAGCATGTAATGGATAGTTAAAATAAGTTTATTATTATTATTCTTTACGCTACGGATAAACCTAAGTTATCCAACGAAACGAGTCACGTGACTGACTAAAAATGGTTCGGCGGTTTTATACATAAACAACGACTGTTTGCCACAATAAAAGCTGGTAGAAAAGTGGTGAAATTGTTTATTGGCTTTGAGTTACATAGAAAAAAGTGACGTGACAGTTTAAAAATGATACTATGAGAATAAGGAGCCACCATTAATCATGCTGACATACACAAGAAAAGAAAAAAAACTTTTCCAAGATTAAAAATTGATAATATAAACAATATTCACATATAATGGTCAGTGACTTTCGTGTCACACTATCTAATACAACTTAGCTGCTCCTTCACTGTTTCTTAAAATTTAATATAATGAAAAACTGCTTCATTTGCACTGAAGCATCAAAGAATCACATCCCCTCCCTAAATCCAACAGTGAAAAAAAAAATTGTTCTTCATACGTTTATAACAATATATCTATTAAAAAACTGATCAATGATGATGACATAAATATGTTTTTAAAACTACAGTATACCGATGTTTCCTTTACCTGCTAATCTCTGACAAAGCTTAATTCTTGGCCCTGAAACATATGTGATATTTAAGCAGAAGAGCTGTTCATTGTCACCATCACACTGTTCAGTTTGTTTAAATGCCTATGATCGAGTCCACCATTGGAAGTGAGGAAAATAATTCACAGATTTAACTGTTTAGAAAGTTGGGGATTCAGGGTCTGCGGTCGTACTCGCTGATCTTCCTCTTGATGTGGGACAGTTTGGATTTCAGGTACTTGCACCTCTTCTTCTTTATCTGATAACTGGGAGACTGAAAAGGGGAATATGATGTTCAAAGAATTGCAGTTTATTTAAGGGAACATAAGCCATTGTTTAAAGAAATTGACAGCAATGGTAATTAAAAATATCTGGGTACAAATATTTACCTTTTTGAAGTTCTTGAGCTTGGTGTATTCACTCATAGCATCCTGAGGGGAGAAAAAATACATTTAAACATAGAAGGGGGGGGGGGACTGAAGAGAGGGAGCAAGTAAAGAAGTTAGGAAGGTGAAAGAGTAGAAAAAGGATTAAAAATGAAAAAGACAAAAACATGAGAGGGAGACAAGGGGGGTAAGAATAGGTGAATGAAAAAAAAAAGAATCAGCAGGGAAACAGTACAAGAGCAAGGCAAATAAAAGGAGAAAAAATTATAACATGGAGGACGAGAACGGAAGGGAAAAGAATATAGTGACCAGTAGATCAAAAGAGAAAACAAAAACTTACAGACAGAATATTGGAAAAAGGCACTAAATTACGTAAGAACAAAGAAGAAAAACAGGAAGTGGACAATTAAGAGTGTAGTTCTCATATGCAGTCAGAGAAACAACATTTACCAGGAACTGTGGACTGCCCTCTGGCAGTCGGGCCAGTTCTCGGTCCAGATCAGCCAGGTCTCTATTAATGCCATCAAGCTCGGCCTGCAGGTTTTTATACTCCAGATGATCATGGTCAAACTCCTTTCTGTAGGTCAGACGTTCCTGCTCATCCACAATGGAAGGAAACACCCTTCAGAGAATATTAGAGGAAAATCAGCCAATCATATTTTTGTCAAGATTCCTCTGTTCCTGATAACTGGATTTATTTTAAACTCACGAGCTAAAATCCTCCTCCTCCAGATCATCTCCAGACTCCATACCAGGATCGTAATCATGTAGTCTGGCCTTCAGAGGTCCAACTGAGCTGCTGATGTCTGAATCTCTGTAAAAAATGTACACACACACACACACAATGAAACAGTATTATAAGAGAGTTGGTGGTTTGTAATATACAGTGTATATATATTGCATTTTATAAACAAAACTTTTTTACCAACGATTCCCTTATATAACATTGAGTACTTAGACATTTGTCTTTCTTAACTCCTTTACCTGGACTAATTCTAAGCATTTTGCAGATTTACCTACTTTGGCATATATCTGTTAGGGCAATTTTTGTGTTTGTTTGTTGAACACTTGATTTTTCAGATGGGTTTTTTTTTGGATTATATGAAAAATGGTAGAAATCAGAATTTTTGCTATAATGTTTACCTAATTTATTTTTCTCTTTTTAAGCCAAGTTTTACCTTTGTTTTCTTTAATGTTCATGTTTCTTAAATTTTGCTGTTTATAACAACTGTTCTTTTGAATAGTAGTGGGTTTAACCTTCTTTTTTTTTTAAACTGAAGGATCAATTAAGAACAGTGACCTGTGATGATTACTGTATGGTGATGTGTTACTAACCCTGGCAGGTAGAGAGGCTTGTTGTTGTCCACTTGTTCCAGATACTCCCTGGAACCCCAAGCTTTGTCATTAGCAGCGTTCAGAGGAACCTCAGCATCACCAGTCACATTGTTCACCTTAAGAAATAGTTTAAAGTTATACATTAGTTAGTATTTGGCAAAAAACTGAACACAGTTTCAACATTTCAATAACTAACCTCTGCGTGATACATTTAACATGTTTTTTTGTTTTGGGGTAAAATACCTTGTAGTGTCTGTGCAGCTGACATGTCTGAATGAAAATTATGATGTTCCTGTGTAAAACGTCATCAACCTTTAAGTATTTATATTTTAAGTACACATTTGTGTATCAATTGCAAACAATGAATATGAATGAATATGTGTACATTAGAAATATGTAGTTTTGAAAGATCTCTTTTGGTACTATCATCCTGCAAATCTAATAAACTGAACATTTTCGTATCTTAATCCTTTGATGAGAAAACTGACCACATTTAATATGTTAACTCAGCATGACAATAATAATATTTGGTTGTGACTCTTTTTAGGTGGAGTGTGACTCCAGGAAAAGTTTTAAACCAACATTTTATTACAAAAATATTTTCCTTTTGTATTTTTTTCTCCGCTGCCCTCTTTTTCTGGATGCTGTCCCAAACATCTTGATTCCACCATCATATTTTCTTGTCATCTTGACCTGACCTCACACCTTCCAGTTTCCCTCACCCCTCAACTGTCACCACCACACAACTTGACTCTAAATTCTATGCAACACTCCTTTTTTCATTAAAGTTTTGGTAAAAATAAATAATCCTTTGTCCCATATTTACCCTTGTTTTAAATGACAGAAACCTGTTCTCACTAAAAGATAAACACAGGTTTTATAAACACACAAGGATGAACCGGTTATTCTGCTTTTCCCTGAATGCCTGAGTACAACTGATACCATCACTACCGTCAACAAGAAGACTGAAAAGGGTTTCCTACAATGGAATAAAAACTATGCTTTTTTGGGGTCAATACTTTAATTTTCCTGAAACGTAAAGCAAACAATGACAATTCAGGAAATGCAGAAACACCGATTTTAATGAGATGTTTCTTTAAATGCACTCATTAAATCATACAAATCCTTCTGACCACATTCTGAGACTGAGACCAAAGTTGACTACACCCAGAAACTGTAAATGAAACTGTCCTGCCTTTCATTTCCTCCGTCTCACCTGACAAAAACACACTTAAAACATCACTGTGAGGACAAACACACCTCCTGACGTTGCACCTGTAATGCAACGTCAACCATCCGAACAAAATCCCTGATTCCCAGCTAACCATAACATATGACAGATGATTTTGCAGAGTATTGAACAAACAATTAGGATCCGTTAGTGCTCACAACATGTGTGTTTGTCAAGTAGGACAAAGTTGTTCATTATGGTGAAGGGAGGGCTGAACACAGTCATACAGTATTTAATTAAATATATTACTAGTGTATCTGATGAAGACTGATCTCTCTTTCATAAACCTAACATGTGACCCACACTAATTCAAGTTTAAGAATTAACTAAAAATAAGAAGTGAAGTAGTGAAGAAAAGTGGATACATTTGCTTGTGTAATATATTTGTTTTCTGAGTACCAGGAACTGTTGGCACCAGGAAATTCTGTCAAGAAACTACACTGCTGTTGCAATACAAACATTGCTTGTTTCCACCACAGAAGATCTGTGAAGATTATACTGAGAAGTCTTGTGGTGTGGGAAGAGAAAATACAGATTCCTTGCATCTTCAGGTCTGTACATCCACCACACCAGAAATGGGCAAAAGAACTTGGAACTCTTTTTGACCAGAATCATTGTTTAAATTGGATTTTCCAAGATAATACATGTATTACATTTTCCATGAGAGACTAAATTAAAGCCTATAGTTGTGTTCAAAATTATTCAACCCCCACTGCAATAAACTGTTTTAGCGAGTTTGACATTTATTTTTTGTCTTTTTTGTAATCAGACCAAAGAAGGACTTGTTAACTAGACAAATGCAACTGAAATTACAACAATATGTCTGGTGATATGCCAACAAATGTCAAAATTATTCAACCCCTTAGACACATACATCCTCAGAACTTAGTACAACATCCTTTGGCAGTTATAATGTGAAATATACAGTAGCTTGACAACTTTGTGGCAGCGATCTACCAGTATCTTAGCCCATTCCTGATGGGCAAAAGCCTTCAGTACATTCACATTCCTGGGCTTGTGTGCTGCAACTGCATTCTTCAAGTCCCACCACAGATTTTTTAAATTGGATTTAAGTCGGGTGACTGCGATGGCCACTCCAGAATGTTTCAGCCCTTCATCTGCAGCCAAGCTCTGGTAGTTTTGGATTTTGGATGTTGTCCTGTTGAAAGGTCCAACGTGGAGATGGAAGGCTCAGATTTGTGACTGACTGCATGACATTTACATTTACCAAGATCTCCTGGTAGTTAACAGAATTCGTGGTACCTTGCTCATGCTGGAGATTCCCTTTACCTAAAGAAGCAAAACAGCCCCAAAGCATGACTGACCCTCCACCATGCTTCACTGTTGGCAATGTGTTCTTTTCTTCATAGGTCTTGTTCTTCCGTCTCCAGACATAACGTAACCTTTGTGGTTTGTCCACGTGGTTTTTCCACATACTGGAATGTATGACCATTCCCTGGGCTTCACCATGTTGTAAAGACACAAGTACCTGTCTAGAAGGAGCTGAGTATCACAGTCATTTTTCTGCTTGACTGTTGCTCATTATCATTCTGTTCGCATCTACGGGCATTTTCAATACCTGATTGAAAACACTTGATTGAACCTCTGTTCTTAAGTGTGGTAATCTTTAAGGGGTTGAATAATTCTGTCAGTGAAGAAATCACAAAAAGGACATTTGATACTGTATTAGACTATTTTTGTCATTTTAGTTGCATTCAGCTAATTTACAAGTTCTTGTAAGATTTCATTATGAACACTATTACAAATATATATTAATGTACTTATGACCCTTTACAACACTGGGGTTTGAACAATTTTGAACACAACTGTATGTCCTTCCATTTAGTCTTGGCCTCCTGTAGTGGTTCCTGATGATACCCCTAGTTGGTATTTGGGGTGGTACTAGTCAATGTGGTGGAAATACACACATGTGCTGGTACTGTTCCTAGTTTGGGTACCAGTTGTGCAAATATGTCTTACGACAAGACAATCATGTTCTTTGCTGAAAAAGTGAAAATACAGAAAATAAAAAAACCAAAAAATTATAAATGCTAACGTGAGGTTCTTCAGAAAAACAAATCCATACCCAATCGTTCTTGTGTAGGTCAAATTAATTGAAAAGCGTTTATCATCATCACCCGTACACCTCATGCAACAATGCAAATATGTTTACGTACCCATTCTCCAACACTGTTGTTCAGACCATCTGTGACCACTTTCACTTCTTCCCACAGAATTCGATCCTCGCCCCAGTGACGCATCTTGGATCGAGTCTTGACAGCAAACACGAGCAAGATGATGAGACCAATGAAAACCAGAAAGCCAAGGACAATGGCTATAGCCTGTAGGAACATGCAATTAAGGTTAAAGATGTAGGGCTAATGAATCAGACTTTTATTTTTGAGTTTAATATTTTAAGAATGTGATTTTATTTATTATACTTTTAGTATTATTTTATTACCTGCTGTATTTATTAAATAAATAATAAATAATTAAAATTAATAATGTAGCAAAATTATAAACATAAGTAAATAAAAATAATAATTTAAAATCATGGCAAAATATAGGTACATTTTACTTAGGGACAATGGTAGTTAAATATGAATTAAAGATGACTACGAAAAGCTAAATATTTTTCAGAATAACAGCTTTCATTTAGTACAAAATTGTACTAAACGTTTTATACTACAGTACTGTTTGTATATTAAAATACTTATAACATAATAATAAAAATAATATAATATAATAATATATCAAAAAAATAAAAAAATCTGTGAAATTTCCTCCACTGTGGGACAATAAGACAATTAAAGCAGTAAAGCAATGTTGTAATAAATTAAATAATAAACTATATCTTTGTCTATTTGTTTAAAAAACATAATCAATGGTGATTTTGATTATTTGAGATATTTTAGATTGCACTAAATTTTATAGTGCAAGTTTTTCCACAACTTGTGTTAAACAGAACAGGAGAACAATGGGTTAATTTAGAACAATTAAAATGTTAGACACCACTAAAAGATTATCTGACCTCCTGTGGCTCAACCACACAGTAGTGGTACAGATACTGGTTGATGAAGATGCCTTGGGCCTGCGTCTGTGTCTGGTACTGGGAACACAGTTGGCGGATCTGGCTGTAGTAAACTGAACCTGTGGATTGAGCTGTTGGATTCACTGACACCAGATACACAATGGTGGCGATGATCATAAGAAATGCCAAGATGGCACAGATGATGGTGGTTGCCAGGTAAAACTTCGAAGATCGAGCTGCATTTTGTCTTGACACTACCAGCACAAAAATGATGAGGACGGCGATAAATGTGATGGCAGAAATGGCAATAATGAAGCCTTTGCCTGCTTTAGGATCCATTTGTGTTCCTCCGTACCCATAGGAGCCACCTCCATAGGAGCCACCATAACCTGAACCATACCCTGTACCGGAGCCATAGCCTGTGCCATAACCACTTCCATAGTTACTGCCATATGATCCGCCGTACGAGCCACCGAATCCTGGCAGTCCAACACCACCTCCCATCCCCATGAGGCTCATGTCATAGTCCCAGGCCAATGTGGAGGCTACACAGGCAAACACAGCGACACACATGATGACGATGATGATGCATAGGATCTTCATCACGCCAGGAGGTGAGGACCAGCGGTAGAAGTGAAGCATCTTGTCTGAAGTATAGTAGGAGAAGACAGGGTTGGAGTGTCTGCTGCTGTGGCTGTGGGAGATGTTGACAAGATGCGGTTAACATGTGATAATCAATACATGTAATATGTCTACATTTTTCTTCCCTAAATCTGAGGAGAATATTCAATTGGACACAAAACTGAAGGGATTCTGGCAGGGTCTTTACACCTTTACTTAGTGCAAAATCCAAAGAAACTATTAAAGCGAACAAATATTATAATCATTGATCATATGCTTATCCTCCATATTGTTCTTCAATCTCAAGTGTTCATGAGTTAAATATAGTTTAATATGGAAAAATAATCAAGGACTTGAAATGAGAAATAGATTAGATTTTCTAAGGACGTGGTTAAAGTCTATATGGTTTAAGTACATAGCTGTTTTCTGCATATCTGCATTGAGGTTTTCATAAAAATGAAGTGTAGACTAAAGTTCAGATATGAGAAGAGTGACAGAGTTGTATTGAGTGACAAATGGCAGTAAACTTACTGTTTGGGCTGGTAGGGTGGATTGCTGTGTTTCGTCCCCGGCATTGTGACCACGGCTACCAATCAACTTCCTAAAAACAAATTAAAATTAAAAATAAAAACAGTTTTGTTTCAAAAATTAAAAGGTTTAAAATGCACCTATTAACTGTCTGTTTATTAGCTAGTCACACGCAAAATAATATATACAATATATATATATATATATAATTATATATAATAATATATAATTGATTGACTAAGGGGCTACGTTTAGGTATATGATTTAAATGTTTATTTCAATGTATTTATATCAACATTTTACAATGTTTTAAAATAACTGTAAAATGTGATGACACCACTGAGGTAAAAATCTTCAAGTGAACTTGGCTCTGTATCCTTCTATTGTCAGTCTCATCCTGAGAAAGAGGGCAGTAGGTGTGAGTGTTTATTGTGAAATGAAGCGGGTGAATGTGGGTGAGATCATACACATCACACACGCGCACTGCCCTCCCAAAGTTGTGAGGTCACATTTCCCCATTTTGGCTACTCCTTTTCTGACCACAGTCATCATTTACCTTCCTCACATACAGCTATACATCTTCAAACAGGTGTACTTAGGTAAAATACCAAAAAAAACAACAACAAACAAACAAAACAAAAAAAAAACGTCAAACTCAAAGGAAAAACCAGGACATTTTTAGTTAAACAACCCAATACACTTTTTACCATTTTTAATAAATACCCAAAGAATATTAACAAGCAACCTAAATAATAATAATAAAAAAACATCCGAAGATCAGAGAGCCTAAATCATAAACGTTAACACACAAGTCCGACTTAGAATCAAGGCCATATTAGCAATAAATAAATATACATACAATTTCCAGATTTAAATCGTATTTTCGTGAGAATAAGGTCGAAATGGTACGAGAGTAAAGTATAAATTTTACGTAAGACAATCCTTTCAACATCCTCGCACTTTACATTATATAAAGATGAAGTAACTTTTCATTCTGATGCACATATTGCTAACGCTCGGTGCCCTCTTTCTAGTCTCCTCCAAAAACAATAATCTAACTGCAGGACCTGGAGAGGTAAATATATGTTATATGTATTTGTTTTAGCAAAGTCGCTTCTATTAGATATAAACATATTAAACAAATTGTGCATCCAATACTAACTCACAAAAATCAATAAATAATAAACACTTAAATAAAATCCAACAATTTTATAGCAAAAGGGATATAAAAGACAGGGGGGGAAAACTTTTCCCCCCTTACATTTAAAGAGAAGTGGGAGATCAGATAACAAAATGGCGTCGCTCCAAATTTAAACATAACCTGTATTTGGTCATAAACGTTAGTTAAAGCTCTTAAATCTCTTTTCACGTTTCAGGTTTTAACGCGCCCACTTAAACATGTTTTAATGGAATATCTCGTGTATTAATTGTTGAACGGACTCACCTGTGTGTGATGAACAGACGGTATGAACCTGACTCAACAGTAGCACAAACAAAACTCACACCCTCATTAACGCCACAGTATCTCTGGCAGACAAAAAGGCTCGTCCCCGCATCCCGAGAGCGTGTTCACAGCAGCAGGTGTCACATGGGTTGTTTCCCAGGTCATGCAGGTATAACCTGTCCTCTCTCTCTCTCTCTCTCTGTCTCTCTCTCTCTCTCTCTGTGTGTGTGTATGTGTGTGTGTGTGTGTCTCGCTCTCTCTCTCAGTCTCTCTCTCTCTATCGGTCTCGCGGTGTTATATACTGTATATATCCCTTTTCTGACTAATTTTCCTTCGTCTTGCGCTTTCCCCCTCTCATTCTTACCCTCCTCCCATCCTTTCACTTTCTACCCCCCTTTCCAACTTTGTAATCCTCACCCCTATATATACTTCCTTTTATTTTTATTGTTACTTGATTTTCAATTTATAATGATATAATATAATGTGTTTTTTCTGGTAAATTTGGATAAAAAAAAACCCACACAGCTCAGTAGTTTGTTATTTCATGAATCTTTTTGTGCTTAAAATTACAAAATAAAATTAATGTTTTGTTTTGAAAACTCATATACAGGTTCCATTAATACCACTGAATTCATTGAAATCAGTGAAGTTTTTTGGTGATTTGTGTATTCATTTTTTGAGGTAGAGAGTGGATTCCGCTGCTTATGATGTCACCTCACAAATGATGGCAGACCAGAAAGAATGTTACCATGGTAATAATGTAAAGAAACAGCTACCCGAAGAAGACAGAAAACAGCAGAAAACACAGTAACTAATATCATCTACCCCAGGGCTACCGCTGAACAAATTATGGTTTGACCATCACAAGACAAGTTTTCTTTTCTTTTCTTGTCAACGTTTGTCATGTCAACGTTTGTTTTGCATTTTAAAAGCCACTCGGAACTGGCTCCTTGTTTTTCTCTTCTCGCTTTCTCTCATTCACTCTGAGTATCAGCTCTCTCAGCCACACCCCTTATCCGCATACTGTCAGTAATGCAGTTCATTCACAAATGCGCAGTTTTTGTTTTAGCTTATTTTAAGATATGTTAAATCACCGCCGTAAAGCAACGTGATTC